CGTGTACTGTATACAATTTTCATTTTTCGATTTTGAGTTCACAATGGCGTCTATAAGCTCAAAATTTTTCGAAATTTTACGTACGGCGGGTAAATTTGCAAAAAATATACCCGAATTCGATTGAAACTTGTTACTCGAGGGTTTTTGGGATCGCTGATTACGAATGTGAAGTCAGAATCCAAAAATTCAACTTGACGTACCTACAATGGCAGACCAAGTTTTCGAAATTTGAAGTAGCGTCCTTTGCCTTTGAATATTTCAAAGTTTCCCGATTCTCACCGCGAGGAGATGGACGATTTTGAGAATCTTTTTTTTTTGTTTTTTTATTTTCTCTTTTTTAGTTTTTTTATGTTTTTAATTTTTTTGGTTTTTTTTTAAGTTTAATTTTTTTTTATTTCCTTTACTCGATTTTTTAAAAATATGTACATACATATGTATGTATGTCAACTACTGAATGAGATGTTCAAATTGATGTCCCTCAGCAACTTGACAATATCCCAATCGTGCATAGAAGTTATCTTTAACTTTTTGCAGCGTTTCTCGAGTTATCGTATTAGGACATTGGAATTTTCTTTCTTTTAACTTATCGATGTCTGTCGGCTTTGTTTCGTACACCTTGTTCTTCAAAAAACCCCAGTAAAAATTATCCAGAGGAGTTAGATCAGGTGACCTCGGTGGCCACTCAATCGGACCCCTCCTACCAATCCAACGCCCGGGGAAAATGTTGTTCAATAGATTGCGTACAATCAAACCGAAATGACACGGAGCTCCATCCTATTGAAACCAGACATTGTCAAACGCTATACCAGAAATATTTCGGATTGCCGGTATAATCTCGTTATTCAATAAATTAAAGTACCATCAGCTGTGAAATTATCTTCAAGGAAGAAAGGCCCAACAATTTGATTGCACAAAATTCCAGCCCAAACATTAATTTTCAGTGGATGTTGTGTGTGGATATCTTTCATCCAATGGGGATTTTCGTCTGACCAATATCGCATGTTGTGCCTATTAACTTCTCCATTCACCTGAAAAGTAGCTTCATCGGAGAAGCATATCCAAAAAGGAAATGACTCATTTTCGTCACACTGTGTCATTATTTCCTCACAAAATTCTAATCTGCGATCGAAGTCGTCTTCCGAAAGTTCTTGCACATATTTTATCTTATAAGGATGGAACTTATTTGCTTTTAATACTTCATGGACAGACAATTTGCAGATACCAGTTTGTTGCGCAATCTTTCTAACTGAAGTCCTCGATAGTCCTCAAGTAGATAGGTTACGGGATTGGTACGCTGCACTTTAACGATCTTAAACACCTCGGTGGTCCAATTTGGCGTGTAGCCCTTCTCAAAAACCGTCT